CGGCCAGGTAAGGTAGAATATGAAAAAGGTGACTGGGTCTTATATTGGCGACGAACAAAGGGAAACAATCGTATCGAGCGGGGTAGGTGGTATGGTCCTGCACAGGTCATTGTTTCAGAGAAGCCCAAAGTCATCTGGCTTAGTCACCTTGGACGTGTCATCCGTGCCAGTCCCGAACACATCCGACCAGCATCCTTGAGGGAATATGCCAATCTGCCTAGAGATGAAAATGGGGAAGTTCGGGATGAGAAACCACAGGGAAGAGGGTTTATTGATTTGGGGAGTAGTGGAGGCATGGGCCCTGGAACCACCGAAAATGGGAACCCTGAAGTAGAACCTCATGAAAACATGGCAGCTGGCATACATATTCCTGAGCCACCGGTTTCCGAACCCCCTCAACAGGTTGAAGAAACCCCTGACCTGAATGATGGTAGGTTTGTTCCTGTTCCGGATAGTGATGATGGTCTGTGTGTTTTTGGGGATGATTTAGAAGTGTGTGAGGATGGTTGTGGGGTTTGGGAGTTCCTGGTAGACCATGACATGGAAACACCGGTGGCTGATCTCCTTTGTCAGAACCCCCAAGTTTTTGAGGATGTTTTTATTGCAACAGGGGATCGAAAGAAGAGGGTTGAAGTCGACTATCGGAGGTTGGGTCCCAGTGATCAGAAATTGTTTGATGTGGCAAAACAAAAGGAGGTCAAGGCTTGGTTGGATCATGGCACAGTGAAACGTTTGGCCAAAGGCACCTTGCATCCAGAACAAGTGACGAGGTGTCGGTGGCTCCTGACTTGGAAGGATCCTCTGCCTGGCAACACCGAGCGCAGAGCAAAGGCTCGCCTGATCATATTGGGTTTTGAAGATCCTGGTATCGGTGTGGTACCAAATGACGCTCCAACTCTTTCCAAGGATGCCAAACAGCTGTTGCTTCAGAAAGCTGCCAGTTGCCGATGGGATCTGATTAACTTTGACATTTCAACAGCCTTTCTCAAAGGGGAAGGTGATGGCAGACCTCTTGGAATTCATCCACCGGGAGAAATCCGAAAAGCCCTGCATATGAAAGAGGGTGACCAATGTGGTTTAGAGGGGGGAGCCTATGGCAGGGTAGATGCTCCCTTTTTGTGGTATCGGGCCTTCAAAGCAACGTTGGAATCGCTGGGCTTCTTGACATGTCCCATGGATGGTTGCCTGTTTAGTTTGGTGACACCTGATGCCAAAGGCAAACCTAAGGTTAGAGGAGTTTTGGGTATTCATGTTGACGATGGCATCGGTGCAGGTGATGAATATTTTAAAGGGGTCATTGCCAAACTTCGGAGTATCTATGATTTCGGGGCTTTTAATGAGAGGGAATTTGATTTTTGTGGGGTCCACTATAAGCAGTGGGATGATGGGACTATTGAGATGGATCAGATGGGGTACCTCCAAAAGATAGAGCCCATAGAAATTCCCCGAAATAGAAGAGGACAACCCGAAGAAAATGTCACAGAGGTGGAGCGACAACAGCTTCGCCGGTTGTGCGGCAGTTTACAGTATGGAGCAGTGCACACCCGTCCCGACTTGGCTGCGAAAACCGGCCAATTGCAGGCCATTGTAACAAGAGCCAAAGTGAGACATCTCATTGAAGCCAATCGAGTGTTATATGAAGGAAAAACTCATCCGGTTTGTTTGATGTTGGTACCTATTCCTGAAGATCGTGTTGCTTTTTGTGCCTTTTCTGATGCTTCTTTTTCAACTTCTAAGGATTTGTCTTCACGTCAGGGAACGTTGATATTTTCAACGGACACTCGGCTGGCTCAAAATGAGCGCACTGTCGTCTGCCCCATTGCATGGAGCTCACGGAAAATACCTCGAGTTGTCACTTCAACTTTAAGTGCAGAATCGATGGCACTCAGCTCAGCCCTGGACAGATTGGGATACATCAGAGTGATGTGGGAATGGCTGAAAGATCCGGCAGTAGACTGGGCGAATCCTAGTCAAGTTTTGGCCAAAGCACCCACTTCCAGCGCAGTGACTGATTGCAAGAGCGTCTACGATCTGGCGACAAAGACCTCTGTCCCAGTCTGTACAGAGTACAGAACAACTTTAGAATGTTTGCTCATACGTGAGCGCCTTAGAGAGAACGTAGCTATGCGTTGGATCAGCACTCAGGCTATGCTGGCTGACTCCTTGACAAAGAGTATGGATTCAGGCATGTTGCGGGAATGCTTGAAGTCAGGGCGATATACTTTGTTTGACGAAGGAGAAAGCTTGTGATGGGAGAGCTTCCAAGCGTGAGCGGTTGCAGTGGCTGAAAGATGGAACTGCTTCCAAGGAACATGGATGTGATGGGAAATAAACTTTTTAATCTTTTGATTTTTGACCAGTGTGAAACCACTTGTCATACACATCCATGTCTCAGGTTCCATTGACCTTTAACAGCTTTTCACTGCTTGCATCCATCGCCGGCCGCCTCGCCGTCCTTAGTGGTGGGCGGGACAGGGCATTGAGCCTTGGTAGGAGCTACGGGTGAAACAGGAAGCAGCAGCAGGGTCTCTGCATTGGGTTGATCAGGCTGGCAGGGTTCAGCTTTCCGGTAAGGTGTGATTGGGGATCCCACTAAACATTCGCAATATATGTACATATATATATACATATACATCTAGCTGGTGGTTTCAACCCCTCTGAAACTCAGAAACTGAGAATACCCTCTGGTAAACTGTTACATAACTATGGAACATCACCATGTTATTAATGGGTAAATCAACTATAAATGGGCCATGGTCAATAGCTATAATAGTTTACCAGAGGGTACCCATTATGTATATATATATAGTAATAACTTAGATGGTAAGTTGGTATATAAGTTTATATAACTATAACTATATGTAACCATAGTGTTTATAACCCCATCTAAATATAGTTATAAGATGTAATTTGCATATCATACACTATGGTTGTTATAGTTCTGTTTACCAACTGAGCTAACGAACTGGGGCCCCATCCTGTACTGCTATTGTCATATTGTTCTCACTATTGTGGAATTGTATGTAACCCCAAGATTGAAAAATTGGAATATTCTATTGTTATTGCTGTTGTTACTAATGTTTATTCCGTGTTATATTGATAGTTGTGATAGTGCTATAATATGTCACAATTATTAGGCAAAATCTAATGGTATGTGTTATCATTATCGTGATGATACATCCTTGCTGTTTCTGGCAATGCCCATTGTTCTTGTCATTGTCATTAGGCGTATTAACATTGTCACTATATAATTATCTCTTGATTGTCGCTTCTGGGCTGAAATCTCTACCCTCTGCTAATTTGTTACATAGCTATTGAAAATGGCCATTTAGTTCGTGAGTTTTCCCATGAAAAATGGTGATGTTCCATTGTTTTTTTGTGTTAGTTACTGTTAGTTTACCAGGCCGGGTACAAGATCTGAGGAGACGGATCTGAAACATCCCAAACCGGTCAGGTCATATGTATTTCAGAGGTCGTTTCAGAGGTGGATCATCAGTATCACTTACCAAATCCCCACCACTCTCAGTATGTTTCATGGAAAAAAATGGGGATTCAATTTAGACTTAAACAGTACCATGTGGTTATGACATTCACACTTCGCCATGGTTTTTCGATGGCCCATTTATCGAAATAGATGGTAAACACCGTTCTTAATAGCATGGTGATGTTCCATGGCTATGTTAAATAACCAGATGGTATTCCCCAGAAAATCAGGCACACCGAGACGAGATCCATTTTGTTGCTTCGGATCACCCTTTCCACCCGAATGATCGATGTGGTGTTTTAGCAACCAGCAACCAGCAACCAGCCTGGGCCTGGGCTCTTCACTACTCAGCCCCATCGTTAATAACCGTATAACCACTAATGGATATTTTTATGGAGATATTAATGGATCTATCAATTGATTGATATAGATCTATTAACCACTATTAATCAATATATAGTTGGTGGTTTCAACCGACCCCTCTGAAACATGATGGAGTTCAAGTCAGTTGGGATGATTTTCCATTCCCAACTGAATGGAAAATCATAATCCATTCCATGGTTCCAGTCAGCACCAACCAGATATAAATCTCATTATATCACTTAATATCTCCAGAAAATCCCTATTAAAAATCTCCATTTATATATAGATGATTCTGATCAATAAAATATATATATGTCCCTGTGCTGCAGCAGCATCGGCTCTCCAAACGAGTTAGCTGTTTGGCCCAGGAGTTGAAATCGAAATCTCTGAGCTACATCACCATTTGGTGAGTTACCCGAAACAACCATACAGGATGGGGCCAAATGGTGATTTCATGGGATTTAACTATGAAAAATGGTGGTTTAATAGATTTAACCAACAAGAACGGTGATTTTTTAATGGGATTTGTATATATAATGTGGCTAAAACAATGCCATTCTTACCAGCCATGACTGGGAATTGTAAACATACCACCTATAAAAATGGTGATTTTCCTGGGGGATGGTGGGTTTATGGCATTGTTTTACCCACATTAACAACAATGCCTCGGTTTTCCACATTGTCCCAACATTTTTAGAGGAAACCATTGGGTAGCTCCCCATTGGAAACCATAGGCTAACTCCCAATGCTGGGTCACTGAAAATTATCTTAGTTTACCCAAGAGGAATCTGATGAAACCAGGAAAACTGGCGGAGTTCTCTGAGTTGACAATTGGAAAAAGTGGAATTCGGCAGTGAAGAAGTGGGGAAGCAAAGCAGTTTGCACAACGGCGTGTCAGCATTTTGCAAATCGTTCTACCCCCTGATTTTTTTCCATTTGCCAGACCTGAAACATGGCTTCAGCATCAAGAACATATTTCAGTTTGGTTGGTTAAATCCATTAAACCACCATTTTTCATAGTTAAATCCCATTAAGAAACACCATTTTTCCTAGTTAAAACCCATTAAACCACCATTTTTCATACTTAAATCCCATGAAATCACCATTTTCCACGGCTTTTCCATGCCCCCAAAACTCAGCCAGATCTGGGCGCCTCCACCGAGTCTGCGGCGCCGGTGCCGATGAGCTTCAGATCCGCCGCGTAGATGGCGAACTGGTCCCCGAGCCTCGTTGTTTTTGCCAAGTGAACCACAACCGGGGAAGATTTGATGGGTTCCATGGATGATTTATGGATGATTTACCCTCTGGTAAACTGTTACATAACTAACATAACTATGGAAAATCACCATGCTATTAATGGGAAAATCCACTATGTCTATGGCAATTTTCAATAGCTACGTTAAATTACCAGATGGTATGGATGATTTATGGATGTTAATATGATCATTGTGGTGTTTTTGCAACCAACCAGCAACCAGCCTGGGCCTGGGTTTCCTTGATGATTGACTATAATGGGATATGACGGGATATAATGGGATACAATAGGCTATGTATATATTATTGACAATGTATCTATACATATAGGCTATGGGATACAATATATAATGGCTATATACAACCACTACTAATGGATATTTTTATGGATATATTTTTATGGATCTATCACTTGATTGATATAGATCTATTAACCACTATTAGTCAATATATGGTTGGTGGTTTCAACCAACCCCTCTGAAAAATGATGAAGTTAACGTCAGTTGGGATGATGAAATTCCCAACTGAATGGAAAGTCATAAAATTCAGGTTCCAAACCACCAACCAGTGATGATTTATGGATGTTTATGGATGTTAATATGAATTATAATATGTTTGTTAATATTTATGGATATGTGATGTTTATGATGGTTTATGATGCTTTATCGATTTATCATGATTTATCATGATAATCCTAATTTTTCGAGGTTTAGGTCCCTAGGTGATTTTCATCGATTGCTGATGGATGGTAGACGGTCGATATCTCGAACGGTCCGGTTTTTCTGGGCAAACCATCGCCATTGGAATAATCGAATAATCCAACATAAACTAATATCAAACAGCCTTATTGTATGATCCCATGTGATTTCATCCCCTGGGTGTGTGGGTGTGTGTGTGTGTTTTTCATATACCATCTGGCTATTCAACATAGCCATGGAAAATCACCATTTTTAAGAACGGTAAACCATCTGTAAATGGGCCATTTTCCATGGCTATGTTAAATAACCAGAGGGTAAATGGGAGAAGGGATGAGTTTTAACATGTTTTAAATTCAGCCTCGTCAAAAAGCTGGTTATGGTGTTTGGTTGATAGATGTTCCCATTACGGACAATAATATCCAAACTAGCCAGCAGAACTCCCTAATCAATCAACCGGATTTTTGCTCACTGCTCAGTCGAAAATATTGATGAACACTTACTGCACAAAAATATTGGAATGTAGAGTTGATCCACTATACTGGAAGCAACTGGAAACAATGAAATAACTTCCAAGAGCTCTTCTAACATGGGAATATGAATACGATTAGAATGGCATGTACCCATTGAATAAACTTGATACCAGTTGATATCATTCTAATATTGGAATATTGATGCGATGTAGAATAACATCAAATGTTGTGGATATCAATGGTATAGGACTACAAATTGGAATAGCCATTGGATACTCACGGGACAGTTTTAATAGTTGATTTATGCTATTCTATAGGAATCAAAGGATTGTTTTTTCTTTAAACATGAGTGCCCCAGTGGATAGTTGATTCCCATCGCCCCTGGGATACTCACAATTATGCCATTGATTTGGATCGTATGATTCGATTGTATGATATAGTGCCATTCCTATCAGCCTTTGGATAGTAGTCCCATTGCATTGTTGATACCAATGTCATAGGTGCTTAGCAGCTTCAGCACGCAGCACGCGCAACGCTGAGTGCTAGCATGCAAGTTCGTCACGCAGTGGGTTTTTACCACTGTCATGTATGTAAATGCGCTTTTAACTATATCCGCAAAAAAACATCCACTGAAATTGAAAACCTTACAAGCCCATAGGATCCATGTATGGTATATATGCTAACATTGGGGGTATATTGATGGGATCCATGTTACCATATATAGCAGCACCATGGATCCCATGGGAAGGCTAGCGAAAGTATGGTTTTAACTGTCACATCTGCGCAAAAGCATTGCCGGTTCACACTTGGAGGTTGAAAGACCACAGCATGATGTCGGGTGTTATTTCACGGTATCCTCCACAAACCGAGGTGACCATTTGATTTCTGCAGCTGATGCCAAGAAAAGCATCCATCACTGCCATCACTGCCATCACTGCCATCACTGCCATCACTGCCATGTTTTTTTTCGTGTTCCAATAAAAGCATCCAGTATGTAAAACAATACAGTCTACCAGAATTCATACCAAAAACACTGGAGTGAGTGATGAGCACGCGAGTGCTGGCATGTGAGTGCTGAGTGCCAGCACGCGAGTGACGAAACAGCTAAGCATAGGTGTCTTTCTTTTAGAAGGGAACTCCCGCCAACAACAGGGGTTCAGAAGCAAGTAAACAACGAAAAAAACCGTGTTTTTTTTGGTGGATGGTTGTGACTGAATCAACCCGAAACATAGGGCCTGAAATCTGGGGGGGGTCCTTATTATACTTTCATGACATTGATATCAACTATCTGAAACGCCCCTGGCTTGCCCTTGCCTACAGTTCTTGTACGATGAGAAAATGACCCAGTCCGTGCATAAATGGGAAATGATTAAATGATCACTCATCATACCCACCAGGCAAAAATGCAACCGCAATAGCTCATTGTATCCTCCAGTGATCTAGCCCAGCAATGGAAAATCCCGAATCCGTGAATCCGTGTATGGCATTCATTGTCCCACTTATTTCTGGTTGGTGGTATACCTACCCCTCTGAAAAATGATGGAGTTCGTCAGTTGGGATGATTTTTCCATTCCCAACTGAATGGAAAGTCATAATCCATTCATGTTCCAAACCACCAATCAGATTTAATTGGGGTTTTGCCAGCAATGTTTGATGACCAAAGGCTATCATAATATCATGCAATGAAAAAAAAAAACAATGTTTGATGCGGCAATTTCAGTCCCTGGCAATTTCAGAGAGATCACCCGTTGCTGTGGTTGAACAATGTTAAATATTTTTGTTTACTTCTCATCAAGTCAAGTGTCTCTGGTAAAAATCATCATGTTCTATCTGAAAATCTTGTTTCTTATATCTGTTATTCTTAAATATCCTTTATTTCATGTACCTTAAACTCTCCATGTCAGTATCCTACCCCCGCAGACTGCCAAGCTGCGCCCTTTCCTCCCGGAAAAAAAAAAAACGCCAAGCGGCATCAGCTTCAGGTTCTTGTCGCAGGACAGGGCCGACGGCCGAAAGTACTCATGGGGCCAATCCGTCTGCACCTTCCACAGAGCCACCTGCCGAAGTTGTCATACGTTGAAGCCATGGTCGACCATGGTGACCGAAACCCCCGTTTCCCATGGGGAAGTGGATCTCCTGTTGGGAAAATGACAAATCACCAACAAACCCAAGACTTGAAAGCATGTTTTTTTCGATGCTTTCCCTTGTTTCAGACAACATCTAACGGTTTCACTCATAGGTGTGTTCAATTCACCCAAAATTGGCATTAATCATTAGACATGATTCAACCCAACAACATTTGGGATGGAATACATATATATATATTATGATATATATGTCCGTTTTCTACTGTATAAAGTAACATCCGCCGAAAAATGAGAAGTATGTCATCAGTGTATCACTCATTCATTGGATTTTACCAAGTTCTATATTACTGGTTACCCTCTCTCTCTCTAGTATACATATAGTTGTCTCTATATATATAATTATACATACATACATACATACATACATACATACATACATACATCCATCCATACATACATACATACATCCATCCATGCATGCATGCATACATACATACATGCATACCATACATTACATTACATTACATTACATTACATTACATTACATTACATTACATTACATACATTACATTACATTACATACATTACATACATTACATACATTACATACATTACATACATTACATACATTACATACATTACATACATTACATACATTACATTACATACATTACATACATTACATACATTACATACATTACATACATTACATACATTACATACATTACATACATTACATACATTACATACATTACATACATTACATACATTACATACATTACCATACATACCATACATACATACATACATACCATACATACCATACATACCATACATACCATACATACCATACATACCATACATACCATACATACCATACATACCATACATACCATACATACCATACATACCATACATACCATACATACCACATACATACCATACATAACATACATAACATACATAACATACATAACATACATAACATACATAACATACATAACATACATAACATACATAACATACATACCATACATCCATACCATACATACATACCATACATACCATACATACCATACATACCATACATACCATACATACCATACATACCATACATACCATACATACCATACATACCATACATACCATACATACCATACATAACATACATAACAGACATCAGATACATAACATACATACATTACATACATACATACCATACATACATACCATACATACATACCATACATACATACCATACATACATACATACATACATACATACATACCATACATACATACATACATACATATATATATATATAGTCATCCTGGAGTAGATAGAATATGGATGTGTTTCCAAAAAACATCGCTAAAATGGAAATATATCTTTGACACATCGATATTCTTTCTATGTCAGGATGATCATATTAATATGTATATATATATTATCTGGTTGGTGGTTTCAACCCCTCTGAAAAATATGAGTCAGTCAGTTGGGATTATGAAATTACTGAATGGAAAGAAAGTCATAAAATCCATGGAAACCAAACCACCAAGCAGTTATTGCTATGGAAAATCCCTTATAGATGGAAGTTTCTAGCTGGGAATCATCAATTTCTATGGGCCATGGCTACCATGGTTATTTTGAATGGAAACAAATAAGCCAGCAGTTATATATATATAGTAATAACTTAGATGGGTAAGTTGCTATATAACTTTATATTAACCAACCAGTTATTTTTAATGGACACCAATCAGCCGTGCACCCGAAAGATGAAAGTCGACCGATGATCGGCTCATCTTTCCAAGCAGCGTTCAGAATGGCACCAAAGAGACGTCGTGGTCATCTTTTTTCGGTCATCAAACCCCATGGAAAAAATGATGAAACATGGTTTATATAATGCTGAGATTTTTTTCGGTCATCAAACATGGGATTTTCATGGGGAAAATCTGGATGGAACATCATCTGGAGGATTTTCCATTGCCATCTGGAGGATTCCCAGAGGACCAGAGGGTACTTCGGCTCGGTTTTTCTGGAATTGGAATAAACAGATTGTCTATGACGTTCATCGAAAGGTGAAGGAACACAAAACCATGATCATATCCCAGCTACTTCGAGGGTGCAGTTGGCCTCATAAGTTGGTTTATGACCCCTATATATCAACTTGCAACTGGATTAGCAACCCCAAAAAATAGGAACATAATGTGGCTAAAACAATGCCATCTGCACCATGCCCCAGTCATCAACATTTTTATAGGTGGTATGTTTACCAGTCCCAGTCACGGGTGGTACAAATGGCATCGTTTTACCCCCATATATACAAATCCCATTTAAAAAATCGCCGGTTTTTGTTGGTTAAATCCCATTAAACCATCATGTTTCACAGTTAAATCCCATTAAACCACAATTTTTCCTAGTTAAAACCCATTATAGCTACATCCCATTAAACCACCATTTTTCATAGTTAAACCCCATTAAACCACCATTTTTTGGGGGTGCTGCCAAAGACATCCCAGTGAAACGCCCTGATCTCTCGCCCACGCTCTCCTGGTCATACATCTCCCGTGGAGCGATGGCTGAGTCATAGTACTTCCTGGGACCAATCGACCAATCACAGGGATCATCATGATATTGGTGTTCATGATGATTATCGTGTGTATATATATATATTGTAATCATCACGAACATGTATAGTGTATTTATATATATAGTGTGTGTTTTTTTTCCCCAAGGCAAGATGTAGCTGTCGCTGCGGCCTAGCTGGTAAATTCTAAGATGTAGCAAACCTGCTCATCCCGCAAAGTCCCTTCCTATGTGATCAGAGAAGGATTGTACAAGCAGGCTCTGACACATTTCCAAAAAGTGGTCTGCTGATTCTGTGCAGGCAGCCACGGGGACCTTGACAATGTGATGAAAAAAACAGGATGCAAATGCAAAGCAAAGTGCCGGGGGGTACTCCTTCAATTGTGAAGTGGCCCCGCTTCCGTCTTGTTGACGGCCAATCGCTGCCCGCTTGGGTAAGTTGTCACAGACAGAATGCTGATTCAACTCTTCCTTCAAGCCGGGCAAATTAAGACTCAAAAGGTTGGTAGGCTTCGGGGTCCGTGCACCAAAGTGGCCTTGCGAGATCCTCAAGACTTCGACACCTGGAAAGTGCGTGAGCAGGATGGTGATTTGCAAGCGCCATATCGAAGCTGCGTCTGCTTGTTCAGGTTCCGCAGGATGCTCAAGCACTGCAAAGCCGCCACCCAGTGCCAAACGATAGATGCACGCAAGAGAGAACAAGAGCAGATCGTTGCCCAAGGCAATCTGCCTCAGCTCTTTGAGACCAAGGGCCTCAAAGTCCCCATAGTTCCTGCACATTGCGAATGACTCGGGGGACTACTCGTTCGGCATGATCTGGAAGTAGAGCTCCACGCGCAATGCTCCAACTTTCACACGGCGGACCACCAAGGAATCCCACAACCCAACGCTTATCAATACCCCAAAACCAGAACTCCTGAGTGGATTTCAAAGAAGCATCTCCAAGCGTGGCGTCATAGATGATGTCCATGGAGACCGCGTGGATGTAGATGCCATCTTCACACGCTGAAAGGAGGCGGTCAAGGTAGAACTGAAAGTCTCCAGGCCGGCGCCTGCCTGCAAAGGCGTGAAGGACAATTCGATGTTTGCCCCAAAGCCGCGGGACAGGGAAGGCTTCCTCTGGCCAGCGGATTTCACTGCAGGCCCCTTCAATGTGTGCCAGATCTTGGAAGTGCTCGACAGTCTGGTATACATCGGTGGATAGAAAAGGCCACGCGTCAACGGACTGGAGCTGCATGACAAGGTGAAGCACATTCTGCAAAGGGATATCACCAAGGTCTTGCCCATCCGATTCAAGGGAAACGAAGCTCCTCCAGAGTGGCTGAACATGTCGTCCATGAGATAGTGGCAGCAAGGACACGACTACGAATCTGCGCTGACAGAGTATCACAGTCAGTTGCATGTAGAATGTCCAAAGCAATGTTTTCATATAGTTCCTCATCCACTAAAGAAAAATCACTTCGCCTTTGGAAATCACGCTGAGGTCCGGCCGCTTGCATTGGGGGGACCAAGCGATCTGTCAATGCATTAAGGTTTTCATCAACAGTCGAGCCAATACCTGGTAGCGGAGCTTTAAATGATTTCAAAGCATGCCATTGCTGGCGGCAGGCATCACTGCGAATCAAATGGTGCTTCAATCGACCAAAAGAGTGATACTCCTTCAGGCAAATTGCACACTGCGTTTCTTGAAACAAGCTTCGGGTAGGATTGGTGATACCATGGGCTCTAAACATGTGCGCTCCTTCACCTGCCTTGCTTCTGCACGGAATTTTGCAACACATACACACAAACACACTCTCACCAAGCGGATTGCAAGTTGTGAGGCATGGGACATGGAAATCACGCTCTCTCATCAAGTCAAAAATGCTCTGATGTGCCTGTCTGACATGGAAGACCTTTGCAGTCTGTGCAACATCATGTTTCATGGCACGGGAGACTAGTCTCTTCCAGTAACCCGGATGCCAAATGAGCAAATCCAACCATTGTGAGAGATGAGACCTTGGGTCTTTCAAGGAGCTCGAGTTCCATAGCTGATGATACATCCAAAGGAGATCCGCTTCAATAAGTTGATTCCAAGGAGCATGAAGATTCAGGACTCCCCAATGGGCCGTGGCTCCAACTGCAAAAAGAGCGCGCAAATAGCGTAAACGGCTGACTCGAAGCAACACTGTGGGGCTCGGCAAGCCTGTGTGCACTAGCACCCATTCATCAGTGACCCTAGCATCTGCAGGGAGCTTCAACAACCTCTTGTACAACCGTATAATGGCTGCATGAACAAAATTTTTGGTTTTCTGATCTTGCAGGACCCAAGAATCAGTGGCATATAGGAGTTTGCTCAGAACCAAACACCGGAAAATTTCGACTCTCCGTGCGAGAGGAATGGCCAGGTTTTGAAACAGGAGTTTGCGGTGCTGTGAAAATGTCTGATGTGCAATCGCAAGTCTCCGTCTCACTTCAAGCTTCATGTCACCGCTATGGTGCAAAAAACCTCCGAGATGGCGATAATGTCCAACAAGAGGAAGGTGATAAACGTTGGATTCACCCAGGACCGGAAAAGTTCCATTGCTCTCCGGTCCAAACCATCGTTGGCGAAATGCTCTCTGGCCAGGCCCTCTTGCAGAAAACATAAGCTCTGTCTTGCCCTTCTGCAAATTAGGTGTCATGCCATGAACACGACAAAGGTCCAAGAGCAAACTGGAGGTCGTGGCAATCTTGGTCTGGAGAGACTCAAGGGAATGGCTACTTACACATACACAGAGGTCATCACACCAGCAGGGCCCTATGAAGGGAATATGCTGCGTCTGCCTGTCGTCCCCATTGTCAAACCAGGAAGGCCCAGATTCGTCAGGTACAGTTTCACAAAGGCCAAGAGCTACAAGCTGGTCTTGCAGACTGTGCAACACACGGGCCCACAGGTACCCGAACACTACATCAGCATACGCATCACCTGGTCTAGAGCCAAGTGTGGTGCGGCAACAGTCAGTCTGGCCTCTGAGAGAAAAATGCGTATCACAGTGGATAGCTCTGATGGCTCTTTGTGCATGCTCGGGGAGCTGTGCATGTTCAATAGCACCAGGCTGTCGCAGAAGTCCATGGAGCTCCCTGAGCACATTGGCATCCAACTGCAATCTGCCGGCCATGGCAGCAAGGACCTCATCATTCAGGGATCCCGACAGCGCCAAAGGTCGGACAACCCTGTAGAAAGCTTCCGTTAAATCAAGGAACAGGAGCGCTGTTGGTCTTCCCTGCTGCTTGTGATAACGCAGGAATGCTCTGGCTTGATGGGCACCCAAGGTGACTGGTGTTTTGCGTCGCCCTCCTAGCTGTTGAGCATGGATGTACGCCTCGTAAACATCTGCTTGGCACGAAGACCTCCGACAGTAGTACCATAGTTGTGCTATGGCACGAAGACCTCCGCAACGCAGTGTGGTACCATAATTGAATGAGAGATCCCAAAGCGGATCACTAAAGGGCTTGCGAGATGATTTCAAGGATCTCCACGCAAAGAAACTTCTGTAAAGGGATTCTCGGCCAATGCAATTTAATGTCCGACGGACAATTCGTCTCTGGCGCAGTTTGCAAGTCCTCAAGGTCCAACACCTGTCATCAATGAACGGCTTTTTGGGAGACCGTTGTGGCTTGGGACAATACTGCTGTAAGACGCCAGTGAAAGAAGCATTGAGTGCATCGACATGAGATTCAATATCGGTGTTCCATGAAATGTCATGAGACTGGGAGAGAAAGGGTGTAAGATCAACGCTGCCAATGGCATTTCTGTCAAACTTCGGTCCTGAGTCACTCTTTGTGTCATGAGAGCACAGAATGAGGTCAGACCAACCAACTTCAAGGCCAACTGGAATGTGATCTACATGTGTCACATTAAGGTCCAAGTCCTCGAGGCACTGCGACCACACGCATCGACTGAGCCAAGAATTTGGAATTGCAACATAATCAATGCAATGCTGGCTGACTCCGTCCGGTGCTGTCCAGGTATGGCGTGGTCCTGTGTGCAAAGGACCTGTTGAGGGCAGACAAAGGCTGAAAGTTTCCAGAAACTGTCTGAGGAATGGAGTACCAGAGGTTTCAGCGAAGCCTGCTCCAAGAACATGCCTGAGATCACCGTCGCCCGGAGCAGCATTGGCGTCAATCATGGCAACCAAAGGTACATCTTGATGACATGCTTGCAGGATGCGGTGGAGCTCCGACCACCAAGCAGCCCTCTGAGCCAAAGCAATGCCACTATGGGGTGCATGGCCTACAAGAAGGTATGTTTGCCAAGCTGCATGTTGAACACGAACGAGCAACCTCCTAGGGTCACGGTGGATCACTTGAAAATCAGAGCCCCGCAGGAATCTTGGCTTGTTGTTGACAAAGGCAAATGGTTGTTTCAGGTTGCACCAAAGCTCAACACCAAGATGTTTGCCATCGGCTCCGGCACACAATCTGAGAATGTCATCTTTGAGAATAATACCCTCCTGGGTGCGCGCTTCTTGTACCCCAAGGAAGTTCAAATGAAAGTTGACAAACTGGCCCTTGATGTAGTCCAGCTTGCCTGTGTGGCCTTTGGAGCCAGTACCAAGCGTGGATACATTCGCAGAAGCAAAGCTAATCTTGAAATCAAACTTGCTTGAGGTGGGTGCCGAGGCCAGAGACTCGGGCACACAAATGGCTTCTGGTGGCAAACTGGGAGCACATACATTGAAACCATCGCCACAAAATTGTGGACATCCGTAATGGTCACTGAAGAGCATCCACAAGAATGGAATAGCCTGGTGCCATCGTCGGAGGTCAATGTCAGGACGCTGAAGAAAGAAGTTCTGTTGTGCTTCCTGCTTGGCAATGGCGTCTACTGCTTCATTCCAAGGATCACTGTTGTGTCCATAGATATGCTCAAGCAGCAGCAAATCGGGGCCCAAAGCAGCTTCAAGGAACTGGAAGAGACCTCTGAGCAACGAGAAAGAGAGGTCAATCTCAATTGCACCTATACGCCCAGAGGCTTGCCCGATTGCCAAACTGGAGTCACTGCGAAATACAGTGGGAATGTTGAGATTGAGCTGAGCACGCCATAGGGCAGCAAAGAAAAGACCCTCTCTTTCAGCAATGTGTGGCCCGACTCTTGCGGCTCCTGCAAAGAACGGACTGGCCGGATCATATCGCACCTGATGTGCCGACCACCCAAGGAGAGAGAGGACTGAATCGCCTTGGTCATCATACTTTTCGCCAAGCACAATGAAGGCCCAGGCATCAGGGATGCCTTGCATGTCAACTTGTAGTGGAGGTAGATGTCGTTGACTTGGCTGTGATGAGCCGTCCACATAAATAATGATCCGGTCAACGTCTTCAAGTGTGCCAGCAAATGAGATGTTTGTCAAAGCCGCCTGGGTCACTGGTGGTAACGAAACACCATCAAATGAGACACTGAGCATGGTCTGTGGTTGATGAAAGAAATTGTGGAGCTCTTCAAACTGAATATTCCACCGCAACAAACAGTCTGAGTCAATCTTCTCAAAACGATCAGTGAAAGGTTTTCTGGCAAACTGCGGTTGCCTGGGCGGCCAGGGCTTGGTCGGCCTGCTGTTCTTGACTTCTGCAACACTTCCATGCGATTCAGAAAAGCAAACAATCGACAAGCGGTTGGCTCGGGTTGTGATGCTAGAGATGAAGGCTTTCTCATACCCTAGACTATGGAGAATTCTCATGAGCGTGATTTCTGTCCAAGCATGTGCGAAGCTGTGGGCAAAACAGCCAGAAGCATCGCTTGTGTCCTCGTTGGCAAAGAGGACATGATATTGTGTCTGCAAGGCAGGCCATCCAAGTGGCACACAGAAAACTTTGTCGTGCTGACCAAAGGCATATGCTGAACAGTGAAAACCGAACCTGGCAATTTCGGTTTCAATGTCAGATTCTGTGGCTGAGAGGGGTACTTCAATATATGAAGGAAGGTCAAGCGCATCAGAGCCCTTCACGATGCTGACAGCCTTGGTGACACTGTCGGCCAGTGAAATAACCTGGGAGATAGATACCTCCTCACGTGCCGATGATTCGAAGCTACTGATGTCTTGCGGCCCATGGGTATGAGCCACCTGCCCATGTGTTAGGCGCACGCAAGTAGCAGACTTCAAAAGCGCAGCCTTGGTTTGCAATAATCCAAGGCCTTCAGCACCAGGTACCACAGGGAGTACTGGGGGGTTCCATCCAGGTTGTAGAAAGGGTCTCACAACCCTCATGTTGAGTCCATAGCCATGTCTCGTGGGGAAGGGCTGATCCGGGGCAATTGTTTCTCCTTCCCGCTGAAGCGTGAAAATACCTCCTTCCGTGGCATACCCTGTTGTGGCCAAGACTTGTGGCTGCAGGGACGGGTCACTGAGAGTTACCGCAAGGTTGAAAGGGTGCGCGTCATTAACCGCATCATCCGCAATGGTGATCAGGACTCCAGATTCATGATCAGGCATCAACTGTGTGAGGATAATATGCGCCGTAATGTCTGGTTCAAGAACTTGCGGCTGCGGCTGCACAAGATGAATACCGGTGGGTACGTGCGGTGTGATCAAGTCACGCCAGGCGAAAATGAGTCGCTCTCTCCATTGATGGAAATTGTCATGTAAAGTGACTCTTCTTCCATACAGACAACGCCGCTGATCATTTGGAGGACAGAGAAACCACACAATGAAGTGTGCTGCTGGAGTTTCTTGCTCCCAAGAGCTTGCATCAAACCTCCACGCTTCGTAGATAGCTTGAATGTCGGCGGGCTGCTGTGTGATATCAGATTGAGCGGGCACAAACACAGGAGCATTGGGGTTCAATGGAGAGGGCCGTTCCAAAGCAACGCATGTTCCAAAATCCCCAGGTGCGTCAGGTGGGGCAACAACTCCGGTGTGACGGAAAGTTGGTGCCTGCATCAAACTGTTGAAATCACCCATGTCATTGTCAAGTTCAATGAAATTTGGCAGAGTACGTACAACAAAATTCCAAGCAGGACCAATCTCATCAATCTCAAAGAGGCCAAGCGGAATGTCATTGTGTGTCAGTGAGCACCTAAGAACTGAGCAAAACTGTGAGAGTTCAGCAGCATCAAGCAGACTGCGCTTGGTTTGGAGGTGATGCAGCGAAAGTGCTCTGTGGGTCCAATGTTCACCGCCCCTTGAGTCAACAAAACTGACTAAACCACTAACCAAGTGAGGACTAGCTGCTTGCTCAATCATAAGGTGTGCTTGTACACATTCAAAGCGACTGCAAGGGGGCTGCGGTTGCACAATTCGGATGGAGATAGGCTCTCCTGGATGTATGACATCAGCCCAAGTGTCTGCAATTTCATCAAACCAGTGCATTGAGTTTCCTGTGAGTCGCAATGCTCGGCCATCGTAGCATCTGGGCAGTGTTCTGTGATGAATGAACCAAGTGTGAAGGTAAATGACTCGCCCTTCCTCCTCACATTCAACCAGATCAGCCCTTTCACGTGCAGCTTCGAGATGGCTTCGCGCTCCAGGGGCAAAATTGCCACGTGTGAGGTGATTAGCTCTGTTGGCAGCATCACTCCTACGTGAAGGTACTTGCGATATGTGCCATGTCGAATCACTGTCAGGATCAGTCTTGCAAGTCAGTGGGGCTCGGGCAACGCAAGATCTGGCTGCTGTCTGGCGAAGTGACAATCCTGCTGTACAAGCAGTAGGCAATGGGCTGAAGGCATCATGTTCACTAGCAAGATCCCTAGCTATACCAATTGCAACTTCCGTGTCCAGAAATTCCTCTTGCGGTGGAGGGATAACAATGCGAAAATACTGTCCATGCGCAGTGTCTAGGACTCTTCGATCCTGAGCAGCCCAAATCACATGGTTGCAAAAGATTGTGCATCTGTCCGATTGAAGCTGGCAATAGTCGAACAGGCCTGTGAGCAAAAGCAATTGGTTGCGATGCAAATGTGGGTTAACCCTCATGACCTTCCTACTATGGGCAGCTGGAACAACAAGTCCGTCACGCAAAGGATGGAAATGAATCTCTGTGTCAACCAAAACAAGCTTCTCTGCCGAGCCGGCCGCAACATCAGGAACTGTCTGCAAGATGATAGCTGTTTCATGGTCAGCATCAACCCCTACAGGACAAACTGCAAGCTGGTGAAAACAACGCACAGTGCTTCGTGGCAACCTACATGCTCGAATGGCTGCATTCAGGATGGCTGCATAGTTATCCCCTTGAGAAAAACCATGTGCATCTGGAGCCTCCAAACGATAAATGAGTAGGCTGAGATCGAAGGTGTGAATGCTACTACCAGAGGGCGATGGTTCGGCAGGGTCATGGTCATCTCTCGAGTCATGTTGGTCAGTGAAAGACATGTCAAAATCACCTTCGTCATCATGAGCACCTGTAGTTTGCGGTTCATCCGCAGAAATGTCACGCTGGCTTCCAGAGTTCATGATTGTCGGATTAGCATCAACAATCTGAATAACAAAAGACTGACCAGCAAAAACCTCATGAGTCGGATGCAGAGTAAAAGGTATTTCATGCCAGGCATGTGTGATGGTACAGCGGCTACCTGGATGATTACACCAATGCAAAACATCTGTCTCGGTGGCAAGTTTGACTCCACTGACACGGCGCTCAAGGGAGCTAGCTACAGCAAACGAATGCGGTGCATGAGTCCTACTGGACTTGTGGACAGTGATGACGCTTGAATACCTAGGCAACCAATGGCCCTGGGAAATAACAAGGTCGGCATGTGTGGGTCTCGTCATGTAGCCTCTGTATGGATCTGGTGTAATAACATGGATTTGGATTTCCTCATTCGGATGCAGGAAGTCTCTCCAAGCAAAGCCGATGTCAATCTCCCAGCGTCTCCAATCAGCGTCAAACTCAAGGATACGAGGATGGAGATTGCGCTGTTGATCACGATGATGCAAATACCAAGTTCTCACACGCATAGATCCAGGCTCATCCAAATCATCAAAAACATGGTGCCTATTCGCAAGGTCAAGTAAATCCCTAATGAAACGTGGTGCCTGTGCAGGATCGAGGTCTGGATCAATGTCATCTGCTCCATCATGTTGATCTGGAGGAGCTGCATCAGGCAATGGATTGTGCCATGCATCAGTAGTGCGCAAGGTGATATACCCAAATGGACGCGAGATCGACATGGAAGAGGCCCATGGTTCTCTGCATCGATTCAATTTTCGGGAACGGTAGCAGTCATCATTGAAGTCATAGTCCCATGTGTCACAAGCAAAATACCAGCCCCACGGCTTCGCATGGGGACGGTGGAGTTCATCATGGGCAATGCTCAAAGAAGACATACTCAATGAATCCTCAAGACCAATGAAAACCTCAATCTGGTCATTGAAGGTAGGCCGAAGGCCATGGGCCCGCAAAATGCCGGCACGTTTGATTGGCTTTGCTGTATCCTGACGGGTCCCCAGACCCATCAGGGTGCCAAGTTGGAAAGACAGCTCCAAAGCGCAAGAGGAGGCTTCCCAAGGTGAAACAAAATTGGGTTCATCAATGATGGTGTGCCTCCAACCTAGTCCAAGATCGAAAAGGCATCCGGATGTTGCTGGCTGTCCACAGTGATACAGTGCTGTCATCGACTGTGAGCCTTGCCGAAAGGCTGCATGGATGGCAAAGGAGTAGTGCCAGAATCGGAGGGCGCAGCTCCGTCCTTTTCTGGTTCTTCTTTTCTCGCACGCTTCTTCTGTTGCTGCTCTGCTGCAAACTCCAAGTCTGCCTGGTTGGCAAGCTGTTCCAATGACTGAGTCAAATGCTCCAGTCCATCTTGGATTCTCTTGGAGCTTTCTGTCTTGGTGGCAGCAGGCTCCTCTTCCATCAGGGCTGGGTCGCCATCTGAGTCCACCGTGATGACTCCCTTCTCTTGAAGCTCCTTGAAGATAGTCTGCGCTTGCTTCACAGTCTCCCTGGCCTGCGCAATCTGATCCAGATTGTGCCTCTCTTGAGACAGAAAGTGCTGAGAATACTCCTGCCAGCGTTGAACTGAAAGATGCAGAAATTGCCTCCATGAAGCCAGGTTCTGTGCTCTGGCAAAACATGCCTTCTCGAACTCTTGCTGCGCTACTCCAAGGTTCTCTATGGCATCG